GTCCGTGTTTTGTATTAGATCTGTAGGCAGCATTTATACTTGGGTACTAGTATACCTGTATAATTTGCATGCTTACTTAGATCACTGTCCGTGTTATGTATTAGATCTGTAGGCAGCATTTATACTTGGGTACTAGTATACCTGTATAATTTGCATGCTTACTTAGATCACTGTGTTTTGTATTAGATCTGTAGGCAGCATTTATACTTGGGTACTAGTATACCTGTATAATTTGTATGCTTACTTAGATCACTGTGTTTTGTAATAGATCTGTAGGCAGCATTTATGCTTAGGTACTAGTATACCTGTATAATTTGCATGCTTACTGAGATCACTGTGTTTTGTGATAGATGTGTCCAGTTTCTGTTTTGTAATACGTCTGTTCTTAGCTTGTGTTGGACTTTTCATAAATGTTTGTTTCAATGAAACTGTTTCATTGGCTTTTTAATCCTACAGGTAATAAGTGATTATATGACAAGTATATTATGTTTTGGGTGTCTTATTGGGACTTTCATAGCCAAGCGACCTACTAGCACGAATGAGTTGGTTTATAACTCTAAATCAGCTAACAGAGTGTAGGCATATTTACAGATGCTTGATGTTTTTGCCTGGCATTCGTCATCTTGACATCTCGGAAATCGGATTAACTATCATCTGTAGCAACCAAGACTACATGCTGTTTACCGTAAAATAGGCTCTCCAGCTCGTCATGGCTGAAGAAGCAAAATTTTAAAATGTTGGAAAGACAAATAGTGACTCTGCTTTAAATGAGCGTCCTCTAACCACTGTGGTTACGGGTTAATTAATTTTCTATTCCATGTTTTGTTGGTTCTCTCCTTTGCTTTGAGTGTTTTTTTCCGGGTTCTCCTGTATTCCTTCTATCATGCAAATCAATTTCTAAATTTCAATATTTATCATGGAACAAGAGTCATAGTTTTTTAGCCACTGGGTATTAAATGCTACCCTCGTAAAAAGGATGTAGGAAGATTTCAGATTTTTCAGATTTTTTCCCCTCTCCTTTGCTATGAGGGTTTTCTCCAGATTCTCTGGTTTCCTCCCTCCATAAAAATCAACATGTGAGTTGAGCGTTGTGTGCATAGAATATTGAATGAAGTGGTAGTGCGTGTGAGCGAAAAGTGTCCCCAATTAGTGCGAAAGTGCTAGAACGACTAGACACTTCAATAAAGATTTTTATTCTATTTTATTTATTTTACTCAAAAATCGTAACAACTTATTTTGTCTTCTATTTTACCTAGCTTCTTTCCAAACGAGATGCCATTCCAGTCCCAAGTGTTCATCCAGATTTTATTTCTCTCCTTATCAGTGGAATGACTGCAGCAATGGCTCTGGATAAGGTTGGTTGGAAAACTAACAAATTTAATTTTAATAATGTTCCTTTTATTTCATACAAATAATAAATTATTGATTATATATAATTTTTCTAAACAGATGGGTGACTTGAAAAGTGGTGAGAAAGTATTAGTAACAGGTAAGATATTATGGCTATCATAATGATGATGATGATATGGAATTGATGATGATGATGATGATGATGTTG